TAATGTGAAACTTTTTTTTTGTTGCAATTTTGTATAGAAATTAAAATTATATTTTTTAAGACAAAGACTGATTGTTCTTATAGTCCATATAATACTCTTGTACATGTGATTTGGCTCTGATATGATAAAAAAATGTTTGATTCGCAATAAAAACTTTTATGTTTAAGTTTAGATAAAATAAAATATCTAAAAATTTTAAAAAAATCCAGACAAAAAATTCATTTTATAAACATTCCACAACTATATGCTGAGTTTGTGTAGATCTGTAGATATAACATAGACCATTTTTCTAATATTCTGGCTCAACGTAGACTACATCAACATTCGAAAACATAAATTTGCATGATTTATCAAATACAGCGTATATCCGAAGATATTGGCGAAAAATATAAACAGCAACACTATAGAAATTAAAAATAGAATAAGTTATTGATAGCCGCATCCGTGAACTTCATCGATTTGCGTTATGAAAAAAAATTAAGTACATATGGTATGTGAAAAACTTATACCCTGCATAAAGAAAGCGCAAGACCACCGTACGGACAAAATTTACTACTTCAATGAAACATATTATACAGCAAACACCAATATTTATCTGCATTTAATAAATAAATTGTCAGTCAATACGATTATAACGTAACTTAGAATGTATTCCGTAATACAACTGAAGCCGTTATGTATTTAAAAGATATGTGGTATATTGTTCTCTTTATGAAAATGTGAACATTATACCTAGTTCTGTAAACCGGTTTTAAATCGTTCCTGTTCCCAGAACTTCGTATTTTAAATGCAATTTAATTATAAGATGTCAAACCATCGATATCTCGCAGCTCCAGCAATGTGCGCTGAAAAATCCTTAGGCTAGAAAAGTGCATTTACACAGGAGACAGCTGGGACAAGCAGTTTTATCAAGTCACGGCTAAGTATATGGACTACCATCTGACGCAGTAGCGGAGCTTGGACTTCCGACGACGGAATTCTTATATGGCTAATAGAGGCCCTACTCAGAAGTGATCTAACACAGTCAACTGTAGAACAATTTCTATTTTTGGGGAAGTGATTTAATCAATATGAGTTGGGCATTTACATACATGGACTTTTTTATGGTTAGCGTTTTAAAATAAAAAGCATGCAATAAAAGACACGTAATAATAATCATTTTTGATAAATATAATATAAAGTAAATTTAATTATTATTTTTTGAGTTTTATTTTAAAATGCGAATGACAACAGTTATAAAGGTGATTTTAATTTTTTAATGATAACTGTTACGGTCTCTTCTTGTAAGTTGTCTTTTGAGTTTCTAATATTATAGGATAGGACTGTCCAGACCAGATAAGATCGCTGGCCAATACAAATCACTGAGTAGGTTAGAGGGCCGCAGAAATAAATATATACGCTCATAATAAAAATACGACGATAAAGACAAATTTAGTTTTATTAATTCTTCATTAATTTATCTTATATAATTCCATCTTTATCAGCTTTATTATATTAGTATTCCCGTACGAAAAATATTTTATTTTTATTGTAATGTTAAAATAATGTTGTACAAAGAAATATATACTAAAGTCTTTGTAAATTTAGTAACTTAATGTGAAGTGTGTAAATCACTTAAGACATTAAAATTATTTATTTGAGAAACAATAAAAATATGTGGTTGCTTAGAAGATGTCGCGGGCCACACAAATATTAGGCGCGGGCCGCATGAGGCCCGTAGATCGTGCTTTGGACAGCCCTGTTATAGGATATGTATGCGATGTTCATTAAATACCTTCTTGAAGTTAAACACTACTTCAACAAATTATTTGTGCGGATTTCATATATCGTTTTTAATATATTAGCGGACTCCATCAATTGATTGAATCGATTTGACTATATGGTAGTCAATGCTTTATTTGTTAATATTGCAGAAATAAAGACCAATTGGTATCAGTTTCAAATTAATAATATATAAATGCTACTTATTAAGAATGGTATATTTCTAATGATACCAAAAAATTTTTAGCTAAAAACACGAAAACAATAACCGTGGGACTCAAGATAAAGACCCAAAAATCCTTAATAGATTGTTTTATGAAATTTCTCACGTTTTTGATAAGAAACCTTTGCCAAGACATTTCACCGCCGTGAACAGTATTAACACTGAGTGAAAGCAAAGAGAATTACTTCTAATAACTTTAATAAATTCAACTCTTCTTTTTGTCTAAGGTAAACACAATTTTTTTTGTATTTATGAAGCCGTAAATCGTAAACTCTGTAGTAAACAAAAATATTGAATGAATAATCCTTACACCCCAGCAGCAACAAGTAAAACTCTCAAATTATTTCAGGAAAACAAAACAAAAAGAAATGTTCTAACTAAAATCCGTGATGAGACAATGTACTGAGGACAATTTTTCCACCCTGTACTCTCTTTGTGTCATACATTTTTTTATTTATTTCTTATTGATATTAGTCATTCAAATCCTCAAATTAATGGAAAACCTTTCAATTACAACCGAAAGTGTTAATAAATTTTATAAACAAACTAGATGAAAACACCAACTTCAATATTATTTATATAAATTTTCTTCACATATTTGACGATATATTCACCTTTTTGTGTATTCACTGTGACTGCAAAAAAAGGATAATAAACTCCTTCCACATGGTTAACTCACAATCTCTTGTTATTCACTAAAACGATTTACAAAACAAATTTACAAAACACTATTTTTAAAAATATTTTTTAAATACAGTAAATAATATTCACAAAAATAAATAAAACCTCCTTGCAAATTATTATTGATTTGCAAACAGGATAAACGACAGCTCAAGGAGTGTCAGAAATTTTTTTAGTATTTTATTTTCTCTCTTGTTTCTCATAAGAGAACGTACATTTTATTGATTACACTACAATGCAATGAGAAGGTATTTACACAATTTTTTGTGTATTGCACAAAATTTTATAAACAGAGATTTCATGTAACGTATTAACATACGTTAGTCAATTTTTCAAAAGACCACAACTTTACAAAACATCATATTTGTTAAAAGAAAATAAAGGAAATAGACTTAATTCCAATAATCATGCTTACTAAATGTGAATACTTTTGTAGATAGTTAGATAAATGAACAGATAAATAGATGACAAATAAACATCTATATATATAGACAGTGGGATAAATAGATGGATTGATAAATAGAGAGATAGATAAATAGATAAGCAAATAGTTGCGTACTTAGCTAGCAGTTAATCCGATTAACAGTAAAGCAGATATGTACATATTTATATACATACCAGTATGTGTACACTTATTTTTAACATTAATTTTATAAGTATATGGAGGTTAATATATTGTCTTTACAAGGCACTGGACCACAGGCCTACGCTGTGACAGTTCTTGCAATGCATGTCCACCAGCTATCAAAGAAAGAACACCAGAACACTTGCTGTGTCTGTGTCTGGGTGCCCCCTTCTTCAACACACTCGGTGATATCTCTAGCCTAAGCATTGGCCATAATCTAGAATATATAAATGCCTCTGGCTGGTTCTAGTTTGATCTTTTCATTACTACCATTATTACGAGGAAATAATTACTACCCATTATTATTATTATTACAGCCTATACAATATTCTAGCTCTTTATATTCAATGTATTTTTTTGTACTACAGCATTAAAAAAGTTAAATTTGAACTCTATACTGGAGCAAATAAAAAATAAATTGAAAAAATTACATGGAGTCTTTATTTATTTACTATGTAACATTTATTAGGTTGTTCGGAAAGTAATTTCGTTTTTTCCCGACTGAGGATGTAATTGTATTTTTTTGCACCCAACTTCACACTTAAGCCAAATAATTTTTATATATTTTAAGAGCTCATATAGCAAGGCTTATGTGTAAAAAATTCCAATTAATTCCACGCAGTAGTTTTTGGTTGGTGCCCTTAAATGTAAAGAATGATAAGCAGCATTTTCGACATACCTATCTTACTGTTTTACTACAGAAAGGGTAAATATGCTGTTCAAGCCAGAAAGAAATTGACCGATGTGTATGGAAATCTTTTACAGCATGAATGGGGTACAATGCTACACCCACCATATTCTACAGACCTGGCACCATCGGATTATTATTTGTTCCGGTCACTCCAAAATTTGTTAGACGGTAAAATTTTCACCTCAAATGAGGAGGTCAAAAACCACCTCGATCACTTTCTTGCCAGCAAAGACAAAAAATTTTATGAGCGTGGAATTACGCTACTACCAAAAAGATGGCAAAAGGTGTTGGACCAGAACGGCCAATATATAATTTAATAAAGTATTTGTTTATTATACGAAAACTGTCTTTCATTTCCACAAAAAAAAACGAAATTACTTTCCGAACAACCTAATAGTATATGTTTTATTTCCCTTTCTGTTTAGTAATCTTGTCGATATTAAAAAAATATGTCTCTAAAATAGTAGATAGTGAAATAATAAAATTTTCACTACAAAAGTTGTATTCTAGATTTATGGTTTTTTTTATGTATCGTAAAATATAGTCTATATATATTATATTAACCCAAAGATAATGTTCATTTGGCTACCTGTACGGTACATGCAGAGCTATTGGTCCCTAGTAATACCAGATAAAGTTAAAGTTTTAAGTAGATTTTCACAAGATATTCACCAGGACACTTTTTACGAATTAAATAAGTGCTTAAAATAACTTTCCTGAGACGTCCTTTAACTCTCCAAATTGTGGAGTTCTCAAACATTTTAAACGCACTGGTGACATGCTGGACAAATACAGAGCTCAATAATAATCCATAAAATGTATCTGTAGAAGTCACATTTAGTTCATTAAAAAGAGGGAAAACATTAGTAAACCAATATTAACATTATTTAAAACAATAAATATACAAAACTGTTTGTTTATCTTTATTTCTTAAGAATGTATAAGAATTTAATTTTAATTTAATATAATTCGTTTTAAATGCATCAATTTTGTAGTTTTTACTTTAATCTCTCAAATTACCGAATATACTTGACAATTGTTTCGAAAATGCACATTTTTCAAGAATATTCATTAATTCATTTATCATTGTATCTTCTTTTATTTACAAAACAATTAAAAGTAAACAGATTAACATAAATTGTTCGTAATATTTATAGATTTACGTAAACAGATACAAACTACATGGATGGCTTCATATGTAGGTAGTCTGCTCAATATTTGTTGTTACTAGATATATTACTTGATTCACTATCGAAAGCAAATTTTTTAAATCTAATTGAATAAAGTAGAGTATGATATATGTAATTAAGAAAAAAAATAAATAAATAATTTATAGATGATATATAGTACGTGCAGATATATAGTACGTAACGCAAGCAATTGTCTACATCGCCACGTGCAGAGGATATCCAGTAATACAACCGAACATTGTCCTATAAGGTATGTTTGGTTACATATGAACCCTTTGCTAGCAAGGAGCCAATTGCTATGCCGATCGTTTTTAGTGTTTCTCCAATTGAATAAATAAGTTAAAATAAATAATTACAAATAAAAATCGCTAAACTAAGATAAGATTTTCATCGATTTAGTCAGTGTTAGTATGTCAGAGTTTAGAAATTTTAGGATGTACTCTTTGAGTTCTGGCAAAAGTTGAGTGCAAGGCACCAGAGTTGATCGATTCAAAGTGATGATCGTTTTTAGTTTTTACCATAGAAATATAGGATGTTGTCTGCCTTTATGTGTAGAAGGAGAATTTGTTGAAGGAGCAGGACATCCTACAAGGAGAATAAAAAATTAATAATTAGTAAAACATTTAAAATATTTATTTTTTTGTTAAATACTTACTACACACTGAACAAGTTTGTTCATCTGTTCCATCACCGCAACCATCACGACCAGAGCAAACAATAGCTGTCGAACGACAACGTCCATTTTTGCACCTGTGTGGACAATAAGCTGCTGGATCACTACTGGCCATTAAGCCACCAGCGTTTAAAAGTCTTAAGAATAGATTCGGCATTGATCGAGAACCACACAAATGTGGTGGTTCATCACTGCCATCTTTGCAGGAAATAATGGCGTTACAGTATTCATATTCGGGCAAACATTCTCCACTCTTGCAACGGAACGTATGCGCAGGACATGAACCAATTTTTAGTGCATTGCAACCAATTTCATCTTCTCCATGTGGGCACTGTTTCCGTCCATCGCAGAGAGCGGCACGTGAAATGCAACGATTACTTCGTTCACAATGAAATGCTTCAGGCGGGCAGGATTTGTTGAGTCTTGCATTAAATGAACATTCCTCATCAGATGCATCGTTACAGTCAGGGCGACCATCACAAACAAAGAACCAGGATATGCAAACACCACTTGATCGACACTATGATTTAAAAATTAAACAATACTGTAGTATGCATAAATAATAATATAGTATGCATTAGATAAAGTAAACGATCACAAAGAAGATATAAGTTAACACAGATTTTTAAATATCAGATGCATACCTAAATCGTTCCTCAACAAACATTTTTGTCAAACTTTTTGTTTTTTATAACATCTTTGTTTACTTTATCTATAAATCGACTTATGTAAAACAACTTACTTGGAATGTGCCGGGACTACAGCCTGTGGAATTTGCACTGCATTTTTCAAAATCACCTTGTTCATTGTTGTCTGATGTGCAATCGCAAACACCACGTGCGTTACAGACAGTATTTGGATCCGCCAATTGGCACTGTTTATCATTCAAACACGCTAATCCTAGTGACACTGATTCCAGCCCCAACTCAACACGCTTACGTATTTCTACTGTTCATTGATGTTCATTGAGCAATTAGTAGAATATTATTATAAAGTAATGTATCTTAAACTTACCAGTTGGTTTGGTCGAATAACTATTATTTTCTGTTGCTATCGGTTCCCGTGTTGGTTCCGGTGTGGCATCAAAATCAGCTAACGAACTTGTGGAAGATGACATCAATGGCTTAAGTGTAGTAACTACAGGTGCTGCTGGCTCCATTAGTGTTACACGACTAGCAAGTCCTAGCATAGTTTGAGTTGTGATTTCAATTATGTCATTTGGATTAGCAGTAACTTCAGTATTAATGGCATCTTCAGGCTGATCATCAATTACTAGGTTATTATCTTCAGTAGTAGTTGTTTCCACAACTAAATTTTCAGATTGAAATCCTTGTGGCTGTGGCATATCATCTGAAGACATATCAAAAGGCAATTCTTCGGGTGACAAAGTGTGTGATGCTTCATCCAAATTCGTTGCATCAGCTACACTGACTACATCATTCGTATTTTCTAAATTTTCTACATTTGTTTCTTGGTTTAAATTTGCTACTTCACTTAATTTAGGCACTTCAGTTGGATTTGGTAATAGAGCAATTGCTTCAGAAATATTTATAGACTGGTCTGGTTTGTCATCTGCATTAGAATATATGCTATTGCTATTGAAATTTTTGTTATCATCGGATTCAGATGGTGATGGTACAACTTCTGGATAGAATGTAATAAGTTTGTCTTTCTGCGCATCTGTCTGCAACTCAGTCGCAATTTCATCTTTATGTGGCAATTCAGTTGCATATGTTTCTTCGGATATATTTGTATCTAGGGCTAATAAATCTGGAATATCTAGTTCCATATCTGCTGCTGATTCTGTTTCTTGACTATTATCATTTTCTTTTATATTTTCATCGTGTACTGGGTTAATGGTTGTTACTTCATCTGCCATCAAATCAGTTAATATATCAAGTACAGACTCACTTTCTTCAAACTCATTGGCATTAGCTTGCTCTTCCTCTTGTTGTTCCACCTGTTCCTCTTGCCCTTCTTGCTGCTCTTCTTGTTCCTGTTGTGTAACTTGATTTTGTTGGTCTTCTTGCTTATTATACTCTTCTTGCTTTTCAACGTTATTTAGATCTTCTACCAAATCTTGACTTTGCTCTTTTACATTATTGTCTGCTTCGTTGTCTGCTTGCTCAATACTTTCGACATTACCATTATCCAACAACACTTCCGGCATAGTTGTCTCTTGCACTTGGTCAGTTGGATTCGATTGAGATTCTGATGATATATCTGATAAATTGAGCATCTCTTCGGAATCTGTCATTTGTTGTACAATATTTTCCACAGAATTAACTACATTATCTTCAACCAAATTGTTTTCTCCACTATCAAGAATAAGCTCATCATTTGGTTTGTCAGTCTCATCCTCAACAGTCTCATCTACTCCTTTTTCAGAATTTGTATCAGTCACTTTTTCAGCTGCAATTTCTGGTGGAAGCGTTGCTGATACGGGTTCGTCTGTTTCTTTTAATTCTTCCTGATTTAAATCGGTGTCAGCTTCTGGTGTGCTTTCAACATAAGGTTCTTCTACTTCCTCGTTATGTGTTTGTTCTTCAGTTTCTTTTACTTTTTCCTCACTTAGTGTTTCTATATCTTTCACTTCTTCGTCAACTTTAACTGGCTGGTTTACCGAGGTTACATCAACAACATTAGTTTCCTCATCAACTGGAAGGCTATTTTGATTTTGTGGCTCTGACACTACTTCAATAATCTGTTCCGGTACATCAACGCTAAGTTTAACAGGCTCTGCATTAGAGTCTAGATGCAGATCTTGTAATATAGTTTCAGAAACTATTGATTCTTGTGTATCTTTTTCCTGAGTATATTCATTTTTGTCAGGATTTTGTGCCTCAGATTCTAACTGAGTGGAAATTACTGCAGGTGTATCTAGCCTATTTGTACTTTCATTAAGATCAACACTATTCTGAGAATCAGCAATGTTAGGTTGTTCATCTTGAGATATGGCATTCGCCGAGTCAAGATTTTCTACATTGTAGTCATCCGGCTTGCTTAATGTGTCTGCAGTGTTACTAGTATTTTCAATTAGTTGCACTTGTGCACTTTCCGCAGTGACGTCAACATCATTTGCAGTTGCAGCACTTTCTTCGACTTGCTTTTCGCTTACGTCACTTTCGATTTCATCTTTTTTATCACTGTTCTCCACAGTAAAATTGTTTTCGTTATTGTTGTTATTAATATTATTGCTATTGTCGTCTTTGTTGTTACCGTTATCGCTGTTATTGTTGTTAATGATACTGTGATCATTGTGATCATTGGCACTGTCAATGCTTTCATTCTCAGCTAATGTTGTTGCAATAACAGTTGCTGTTTGTTCTTCTGCATCGTTGGTAGCATCAACGTTAGCCAATTGTTCTGCAACATTTGCGATATTTTTATCTTTTACATCTTCTGCATTTGCGAGGTGTTCTTGTTGGTCGTCACTCTTAATTACCTCCATATCGGAGTCTGCTTTGTGGTCAACACTGTCCACGGGCTCTGTTTCCTCTTCTTGTTCTTCATAATCGAATTTCATGGTATCATCTAAATTAAGTTGCTGATTTATTTCCTCTTCATTGCCGTACATATCTTCATCAGTTGCATTTTTGTCAGTAGTATCCAATATAGACTCTGGCGCTGTTGCAGTATCCGCAACTGAATCGGCTACTTGTTGTTGCTCTTCGTCCTTGCCGGCATTTACATCTGTGTATTCTTCATCAATTTTATATGGATAGTCATCAGTAACTGCTATTGCATCTAACCCAGCACCAGTTAGTTCATCAATAGTTGAGGTCAGGTCTTCATTATTTACAGCAATCCCAGGTGTTACCAATTGCTGTGTAGATGTTTCAATTGTTGGAACTACTTGGATGGCGATTTTCGATGGAGTTTGCTCTTCTTCAGCTTCATTCTCGATATTTTCATGAGATTGCAAAGCATCTTGATGGACTGATGGGTCCGTAGTTGTAGTTGTTGTGGTTGTTGTTGAAGTTGAAGTGGTCGGTGCTGGTTCTGGTGCTGGTCCTGGTGCAGGTGCTGGTGCAGGTGTTGTTGTTGTTGTAGAAGTAGTTCTAGTCGTTGTGGTTGTGGTTGTGGATGTCGTAGTAGATGTTGTTGCAAGTTTTTCAGTAGTAGAAATTGGTTTTTCTGTTATTGGTGTAGCCTCTGGTTCTATACACAAGCCGGCATTTAATTTTGTTGGTGCAGTACACTGACAGCGTCCAAATAAATTTGGTATCAAAAAGTCACAATGGGTACGTACATCAAACATTTGACAGTGGGCATGGCTATAACATACTGCACCAGGATGAGCAGCTAAAATAAGAGTAATTATTACATATATTAATGAATTGATTAACACCAAATTGAGTTAACGATAAAAAAACAAGTATAATATGAATTATTATTTATTTTAGTATTATTATACTAGTATACCATATACTAGTATAATTTATTAGTATTATACTAGTATAAAACTTTTAATATAATGAAGTGAATATATAAAGTATGAAGCATGAATATATGAGGTATGAATATCGAATATAACGAATATGGCATTAATAACGATGGTAAGTGAAAAAAGTATGCTTTCTTGTAATAAATGTTGCAAATGCATTAATATGCATTAATGTTAATAATAATACATTAATATTAACAATCCGTTTAATATTAAATTTAAAATTTTTAGTAAATGTTAGTGCAATTTTTAATAAAGCCGAAATAATATTATAAGTTCATCAATAAAAATATGTTAATATTTTTACTTATGACAGTCAAAGATTAATAACCTTGAAGGTAGTGTTCAACCTGGAACACTACACTCCATCCAACGGTAACTAAATTATTTTGTAGTTATGTGATTTAGTACTACATACTACAAATCTTTCAATAATACATAATTATCTAAAATAGTTGTTATCTGAACACCTTATATAGAAAACCATATGTAAGTCATATGCAACCAGTCAATTAAATAAAATGCATTATGTATACCTGGACTAAGTTTCAATAACGTTATATTTCATTCTTATGTTTCTTTCTAACCCTCTTCTTTATCATTATATCTATCTATTTCCTTTTTTAAATCGTTCATACCAAGTTACTGAATTTTCAAAAGTCATTCATTTACACTTGTATTTTCTTAGTTCCCTTATCTAATCTGGTTTATATCATCGCATCTAAATTTGTCTCCCTATTTAGTGTATCTTATAGTAATTATTTTTTCTTTCTTTTCCATGTAGTTTTTGTTTTATACTGTAACCCTTCGCAGTCACTCAATTTCAAACAAATATTTTAATCGATCCATTTTTAACATCGAAGTATTCCTTTTCTTTTCAATTGGTTTTTCTTTCTTTCTTTCTATAATAATAATTCTATGTTTTTTGCTTTAAGGCACTTTTTAAGAGGAACTGAATTTTGAAAGATAATGTAATATATATTTTCCAAATTGTTCTACTTTAAAGGCGTCAAAGAAAATAATAAGGATCAGCAACGAATTCTTTTAGACGTTTGCTTTATAAAAATTAACACTCCAATTGTTCTATTAAGGCGCATACTTTAATACCGCCCGGTTACTTTCGTTATCATCACCGATGTGCTAGATAGTCCCTTTACCATTTCCTCCAATATTTTACATTTTTTAACTTAAATTAAATGTTAACACCTAAAAGTTTAGTATGTTAATTTGCAATTGATTTTTTAAATTTTTAATTTCCAATCAAAATGTAGCCATGTGAGATTTTTCCTCTCATTCCAAGCAATTACTTAGGTATGTAGTGTTCCTTTTGTTGGCCTGTTGCTGCAATAAAGTTCGCTTGCTGCAAACAGGTGGGCAACAATGTTGCCACAATAAAACTTTTCTACTATTTAAAATTTTTTTGTCAAGATTTTGCAATTTTTATGGCCTAAACTCGTTTCCCATTAACTGAATTTTTACCGCAATTGTCGGTACATTTTAAACCATTTCTTTGTATGGATGCATGCATGGAAATCTCCAACCAAGAAAGCATTAAACAATAATTATTGTTCACTCACTTACTGCAGTAAAAACAAAATCAAAAATAGAAACTGAACAGAAAAGAAAAAAGAATCTCAAAACGACACACATATCCGTACCGGCTTGAGATTGCTAACCGATTGCCGTTGACTGAGCAAAAGAGTCACGTTAGCAACGGTCTGTCTTGGTTACACTTAACTTGTTTAGGTTAACTGCGGTGGCTGCGATGACTGCGGTGGCTCCGGCCGTCGATGAATCAATAAATGCCCAAGCATGTACCTCATATGTGCATCCATAGCTGTGTCAGTAGTTGGGTTTTTCTTCAGCTCTTAACCATAAACGATAAACGCATGTAATGAGAAAGAAATGACTTTCCCTAAACTAACTAACGTGCAACTAACATAAGGACTGCAGAATGTCCCCTGTGACTAGACCAATAGCCGACAAACTGTTGCATTTTGTTTTTTCAATGCTTATACCTGCTGTTACTATGTCTTGAGTAGACAAAAACTTACACTAACTCCAACAGTAGAGAAAACAGGTTGTTAGAGCAGTCTTCCTCCATTGCATCTGCTGTTCGCTCAAAAAGTGGGTCAGCTGAGCTAAGAATTCTTGTTCACAGGTGCAACAAAAGATGCAATACCAACGGGTATGTTCATATTTATACATAAGATATTAAGTATGGATATCGTATGAATTGCTGCAAGTGTGTATTGCTAGTGTGTTGCTAGTGTATCCAGAAAAAAATGAGTAGTTTTTGTAATTGCAGTGCCTATCATTAAAATATACTCTGCAGAATGCTAAGTATTAAACGGAATTTATATGGACTGTGCTCAGTTTGTTTATTGCACATCACATTGCAATATAAGATCATATTAAAATCTCTGCAATTTCATAATCTCAAAGTATTTCAGTTATGCTTAATCACTTATAACAATTAATTGCCCAAGAAGTAAAAATATGAAATAATTAAGTCATACTATTTCATAATCTATAAAATCAGCAACATTAGAAACGTAAATGGAAATGATGTGCAAAGGTGATGAAGTTACTTATATAGACAATATTGCTACTGTAAATGATTTATCTATCTATCTAGTTGAGTAAAATTGAATTTGCATTTTTTTGCAATAAATGTTAATTTACAATAAAAATTTATTTCAATACTAGTTTTTATTCTAAATCTAAACTGTTTATATATTACAGCAAACACGATGTATATGTCATTCTTAATCTGGTAAATAAAACTCTAATCAATAACTTTTAATGATATCTTACCGAAATCTAACTCGAAATATATATATATATATATATATATCAAAATAATCAACTTTTTTTAAAAACTTAGTGAAGACAATTTCATAAAAATAGTTTTTATTTTTAAAAACATGATTTTTAATTATAAATGCAAAAAAGGATGTTTAAATAAAGAATCAAAAGCATATCATGCTTATGTTTCAGAATCAAACTAATATAAAACCTAAATTAACGAACTTAATAAGGTACTTGGCTTATAGTTGACAACTTATGGCTCCGACACCGTCTTATTAAAGCTACACCGTCCTATTTTCCACAGTCGGAAACCTGGCTAGCTAACTCCGAAATCGAAAGAAGATTGCAATCATTTATCAAAAGATGTCTGCGCAACATATTAGGCATATGGTGGCCTAGAACGATTTCAAATGAAAAGTAATGACGCACCAAACAAACATAAAAATCGAGATAAGAAGAAAGAAATATGGTTGGATTGGACACTCAGTGCGTAAACCTTATGAAGATATCGCGCATGCTGCACTTACTTGGAATCCCCCAGAAGACTAGGCGCAGAAGCAGACCAGCAATGACCTGGAGAAGGGTAGTTCAGCAGGAGACGGGCAAATCGTTTAATGAGTTGATAGCAATAACACAAAATATAAAACCAGTGGAAAAGTTTTGTAGACTTCTTAAGCTCCTAATGGTGTATGGAAATAATAATAATCTTCCACACGTATGTAGAGAATTTCTGCCTTCTGAATATTAAATCTCTTGACCTCTCTTGGCTTTGATTACTGAAATGCGCTTTCGGTCATTTTCATAATTCATTCTTAAGAGGTAGTTTCAATGAGTTAGAATCGTAAACGTAGATTTTTAATATTTTCCACCTATTTTGATTAAAAAGTCACTAGGTCACTTAGGCATATATGACTAAAATGAAAGGGTTTACTTTGCAATAAATATGAATACAGTTGGTAAGCCCTGAAACTACATAGTATCAAGAGCTTTACTATATTTTTTTATTACGGTTTAGATGAAAGTGTTGTTGTAGATATCACTACTAACAATAAAATATTTGAAAATTAATTTTAAAGGGCCGGTTTTAGTTTAAAGTCACACACACAAGTCTCATGAAAAAGTAAAAAGTATAAATAAGTTTTAATTAACATATTAACCCTATTTTGAAATGTATTTATTTGGAAAAGCTGTTAATAACAACAGTATCTGATATAAACTCTACGAAGTAAATAAAAATGCGATGAAAATAAAAAGTGGTAATGAAATTCAATCAAGTAATCGAACATCAGAGTGATTTGTTGACAAATTGATTGGTAGACTATTGTTTTTCTTTTCACTGCTCGATCTCTTCTCCTTTGCTCTTAAGTTTTATGAAGCTGTAAAGTTTCCAATTACAACTTTTTTCCAAATAAATTATATTTTATGTACGATTCAGAATGAAGTTGCTATTGCAATCGTAATTGCAATTGCAAATCAAGAAGCCATAATACTGGTACGCTGTTGCATCCGCAAAGTTTTTTCTTTAGCGTAGAAATGAGATACATTACGTTCATGCGAATGCATCTGAACATTGTAATTCGTTTCAATGAATCAAAGTATGCATAAATTAAAAAATATACATAAAAATATTATAACATTTCATTTTGCTTTTTCTCATTGCAAGACGGAAATTAAAAAATGTGTGTCACATTCAAAGTATCTCATACGGCAAATAGCAGTTGCAATCGCAAATCTGCTTGTACCAACTCACAGCCAATTCTGCCAATTCTGCCACGGAGAAATGTTACAAATGCAATAAAAAGTTGGCAAAAACTATCTATCTATTTTTATTATGAGAATAGCACGATAAAATGGTTCATTAAGCATATGCAATTGTAGATGCACGTATATTCTTTTATTTTCCTTTATACTCTTGAACAATTTCTCCAGAAAATTGCTAGCAAACTTATTCGAGAACATGCAAATTAAAATTTTAATGATTATATAGCTTATATGATAATCACATAAAACAATTGTTTAATAATCTAATATCTGAAATCTGCACTCG